GAAGGGCGAAACCGGTCGTGGGCTGTCGAAGAGTTTTCAGCAACCTTGTGAGTAGTTTCCTTTATGAAAATATACTGCCTTATCTCGAATATCGTGCCAACTGAATCATGAGGCGGCCTGTGTGCAGCACATTCAGCTGGAGAACATCATAAACGAGAGATTTAATTGAGTCTCCCGTGAAAACCAAATTGATTTGCAGATGAGTGTATTTCCCTAGTAACTGTCTGATTTATCGAGTGACTGACCAGTCGGATAGCCCTACGGAAATCTACTGGACAACGGTGATCATTTGTAGATGACTGCGGAATTCGTGGAATTCATATTCACTTAAAAGTGTCTGGTAGTCACGATAGCCAAAAAAAACTGAAAGTTTTACACATCAAGCAGCTGTGATGGGTTGAGCTGACCAGATCATTTCCAGTCAAGACCAGAGTCACTCGACCGGAATTTCAGAGAACAGTAGTCTGGTTGGTACCACCTATCACACTGTCCCGTTAGTAGGCCGGCTGGCGCTGGACACTTAACACTCATATATCCAAAAAACGTTTTCTGGATGTTGTAGTCAGATCAGTACGTATCAGGTGGTTAAAATAGAGGTAGTTAAATAATGAAATAAGTGAATTAGGAAACGTGGAGGCACGGATGATTGGTTGTCAGCGCACCCCACTTCACATTTAATTGGGTATTCTGAGACAGTTAGGTCGCTGCAGCAACTCAGCCGGTAGCTTCGTGTCACATGACATCACAGTTCCGGGTTCCGCAAACGTATTGTTACTGCTTCGGCCGTAGTTAAACCACACCATCGAATCTGTGTTTTACCAGATTCTGGTGTGATGAACCGCCCAGCCGGCTACTGAGCTGCTCAACCTGCCAACTACTCTTGCCAAACTGAACACCGGTTTGCACATGAAAACAAGTGACAGGGCGTTACACGTCATGTGCCATTTGAGCAAAACAGCATGTTTACCAATAGTGCATGTTGGACAAAGTTCTCGGGTGTTCGACAGGCGACCGAAATCAACGGAGATGAATGCACATAGGCGGACTATTCGCACGATAGATGAGCTCAGCTGACTACGTGAACTTACAAAATCCCGATATCGTCCTAACTTGCAGAACTCCAATTTATCAATGAGAATCCAGATGACCTCTCAAGTTCAAATGAGGATATTCTCCATTGAAAACCTAGCTAGTCCTAGACGGGACACACTCCTCCTAAGATTGCTGAAAAGCGTTCGACAGAAGACGATCGGTTTTGTCGTTTTTGGGACTAATCAGGTAGAAACGGTCCCCAAGTTCCCGTCATGCAGTTGAAGAAGAACATCATAAACAAGAAATTCAGCTGGATTTATTTGGATCTCCCGTTGAAACCAGCTCGGAGTACAAATGAATGAACAGCTACATGAAACTGATTACTTCCTCTTTATCACAAACATTCATACACACACACACACACCATGAACATGTGTGTGAGTAGTATATGTTGGGCTGTTCTTAGTTTTTTTGGAATTGAACTATTGTCTTAACACTAAACTATCAAGGGGTTAGAAAGACTTGCATGGGGATGAACAACAGAGTTCCTTTTCGACGAACCAGATAACAGTTGAACCATTTTGGGAGTTGTAGACATTCATTTTGCACTATTTGAACAAGAAGACCAGTTAGGAAGGTGTTCTATGCAATCACACAAAAACGCTCGAGTGCAATAAAGATGAAAGGTTCCAGAGAGAGGGAACCAAAGGAGTGTAGTTTCGTAACGCTGTATTCAAGTGGCATATATTGGGATAAGTTCAGAAATCAAAAAGCTTTCAAAGGACTCCCCACTTTGAGACTGAGGAAGGCACATTAGTGGAGCTTGGGCCAGGTCTACCATTAAAATGACTCATGTATAGTTGCTGTTCACAACATCATTTCACCTCAAACCCCTGTGGTCCATGGAAAATTAAGCAAATGAAAGTAATGCACTACTCATAAGGTTGCTGGAGATTTGTCGACAGCCCACGAACGGTTTCACCCTTCCTGGGGCTCATCAGGTAGGTGCAGTCCCCGAGTTTCCGTCAACCTTATGTTCTACTTTCAGTTGCCTGGGAACATCAGAAACGGGAGATTCACCTGGGTTCCAGGTGAGCCTCTCGCAAATCACCAAACCTGTTTGCAAACGAGTGTATTTCGCTAAGTTCGTGCAATTTGGTTTCGAGTAGAACATAAGGTTGACGGCAACTCGGGGACTGCGCCTACCTGATGAGACCCAAGAAGAGCAAAACCGGTCGTGGGGTGCCGACGAATTTCGGCAACCTTATGAGTAGCGCATTACGCAGATACATGTATCGCGATATCTCAAATATCGTAGCGACTGAAACAGGGAACGGCCTGGTTCAGAACATTCAGTCGCCTGAGAACATCACAAACGAGAGATTCAACTAGGTTCCAGGTGAGTCTCTCGCAAAACCAAATTAGTTTGCAAATGAGTGTATTTCGCTGAGATCTAAGTTAATCTGGGCGTTTATTTTCCTCCCGTTTCGTTCCCAAGTGTAAGTCAATTTCATTATCACAGACATCTGGATAAAGTCATCTTTCTGTCTAGTACTATCTACGTCCTTAGAAGATACAGCTTCTCTATCATGAGCACCGTGTCCTCACAACTTATCTTATAGAATTTGAAATTCACGGTGACGCTGTCGAATAGACGACGGCATGAGTGGGTGGACATCTGCCCAAGTTACACATCCGTCGATTGGGATAGGATGGCCCCGGCAACGACAACTCTGGCAATTCAGTTGAGCATCTAGTTGGTATTTTATGCTCCATATTTGAGGATCTTTGTAAGCCGTAACAGTGTGCTGGGGAGCAAGCACAGAGGCGACGCACCTGCTGCTTACGGGCAAACTAGTTTCCTACCACCATCTAGCTAACAATTGGCTGCAACATCAGAGGAACGTCCATGCGTCCAGTGCCATAGCAACCGAGTCAAGTGGGATGAGTTAACTACCGTTACCCCTTCCTGTACGTCGGATCCATTACCCGCAATCGAGCAATGCCGGATTAGGCAAGGCAAGTGAAGAGCGAACCGTTGATGTGGACAGGCACTGAATCTCCAATGGCTATGTAACCAACCGTGGCGAGATGACTCAAGTGGTTAGAGCGCGAATTTACTAACCGGAAAGTCCGTGGTTCGAACCCTCGACTTTCACTGTCTAGGCTTGGGCAACCTGGCCGTATCCCAGCCCTCGTGCAACCTTCGGGTGGCATGGCAGTTAGGCACCGGAATGGTGCTACAGCTGAATGATTACGTAACCAAACATCGTCGGAGGTTAGTAAATCTGGGATAGTACCATAGAGAACTTCCGTTGTGCAGTTTCTCTCCAAGGAGTACATAACCAGTTTGGAAAGATTACGAGGATAAAAAAACAAGTGCTACCGGGATTGTCAACTGGATGCAGAGAAATTCTCGTGCAGCAAAACTAGTGCCTTGATGTAGCTTATTCCTCTTGGATAGGTCTCTTTACCCCATGGCTGTGTCTTGGCCCGCTTCCGTGGTTTATCAGGCAGCCTCATTTGTTGACACGTTTGCCTCCAATCTAGCATTTCTTTTGACCCTAGCCACAAAACAGTCATGGGGCGTGGTCCGTAATGCTTCCAGCTACCTGAAAGTTCTAAACCCGAAAGCAAACGCAGCCGACCTTGTCCCGTAGCCTAATGGGTAGCGGAGTACAGAGGGCTGAGGTCAGTATGTCCGTCAAAGCCGGTCATTTCGTCCGCCGCGGACAGGCGAACTACGACGTCCTCGTCTCTAGGCTGAAAAATAAAACCTGTGCAACGGAAAAGCTCAGGCAGTACGAGGCTCATATGCGAAGCATACACGTGCGCTTGGTGGGTAAGAGAAATGGCCGGCGCGACAGTCGCTTCTAGCCCATGGATTGATCGATAGCCCAGAATGACTGACCAATCAAATGGCCGTTTGGATTTTCTTGAACGTGATGTGAATGGATGAATTTCTCGCCTGACAAAACAGAGGTGATTCGATAAGTGGAAGAGAATTGGGTTTGTACCACCAACAATCAACGTAGTTGTATGACATACGCGTAGGAGACGAGTCACTAGGAGTTGGCCGTTCACGCAGCTGGAGTTGGCGATCCTAAGGTGAGTGCTATTTAGAGCAGTTTAAAATTTTGTACTTTCGACATTAATGCTACGGAGAATGCCAGTAGAGATGCTGTTTTGCCAGGACAAGGAATCCATTATAACCACAGATCAGTCCTTAAATTCAAACTTTGTTTGATGCATTTTGGGCATCAGAACCACTGAGGATGAAGAGTTGAAACAACTTTCCGGTGGCAGATGCCTTCGCTAGTTAGGACTGAAGTACATTACACTACCATTCTTCAGATCGAGTTTCGTGCGCGTAAGG